GATAACCACGTCATATGTTTACGAACATGAAATGTTGCTAAATAAAACCAAACACAAATAACAACGAATGTGACTGATGAAGTAGTTTACCTGTAAACTAATAGACATAGAGATAAACAATTTCATTTAAGGCTTACGTTACCGTGTTAAGCTAATTCATCGCGTTTAGTACAGTGTTTCAAATATATCTATATTTCCCCTGTTTTACATATCAATTAAATTATTATTTTCAAATAATTGCAATAAAATGATGGGTTATCAAAATGTGTATTCTTTATCTGGTCATCGATTCGGGCAATACCGACATTTGGTGTGAAACTTTCATTACATACAACTATTGCCAGGAAGGAATATCAGTAGGGGAACAGAGAATGTAAAAAATAGTAATAAGTATATATATATATATTGCATAAGGGAATGGTATATATCTGTTGTATAGTCCATCCAAGGAATCCACTCATGTATTTATCTATTTTTAGTACATGTCACACGTATAATACATGTTTTTCATTGGCTATGTCAGTCAGGAATAGAGATTATAAAGTTTGAACATTTAAATAATCTTCAATATATCATTATATTGTCATTGGTGAGTATATATTACATACAAGTAAATATGATTGAATGGTTTACAAATTACTTGAGAAACTGAAATTAAAAAACATTTTAAAATACATAAATTATAAAAGTATAACATAACTTCAAAGTTTTCAATGTAAATAATCTCATTTGGAATTTTATTCAAGCGTTTTGAAAAGTGAATCCCAAATTTACCAAATAAGGAAAGTTGACTCCCCGTAGTAACATCATTTATGATCTGAAAGCATGAACTGGTCACCATTGACTGTTACACCTTATCTCAATTAACAAAATAGTGAACAACGAACCTCCCGTATTTTGTTCAGTGAGGTAACCACTAACTATTACAAATACAGTGAATACTTAGAAGACCTTTGACGAAGCGGTAAAACCAGCCAAAGGAAAATGAGATTTGGAAATACAACCAGGGCAAACTTTGTTTTCATTTATTTTTCAGTTTCTCCAGTAACGGCCGAAACTTTGTTAACGATACCTGACAAAACATTTTTAAATTTCATCTTTATCGATGGAAGCAGAAACAATGACAATCCGTACGATTTAGGGAAGAGCACCATTAGAATGGGTTGTTGAGGAAATACATAGATAAATTTATTGACCTTTTTAATATCTAAAGAAAGTAAGATTGCTTTCTTGTTCCCCTGTTATTTCCAGTGGGTTTATATCTTTCACATTTCCGAAAATACATTTTTTAAAACATCATTTATTTTTATTATAATCTGTTGAAATGAAAACAACGCCATTCAGTATTTTATGACATGATTTTTATTAAAATTCGTTGGCAGAAGTTATGGTTTTACGGATGTGTTTATCACCAATCAGTGACGAAGGCGTAGAAACCGGAGTTTTATTGCACAACTTCGCAAGCCAATGTTTATCATAACAAAGATAGGCATGGTATACTTGTCTTTAGAAACGTATGCTTTATTTTAAAGAGTGGTATCAAGATATGTCTTTTAATCAGCGAAAGTTAAAACGTTAGTGTGTACAAATCGTAAACAATTCTATCGATATCCGGAAGTGTAGGTGTCTGCATAAAAGTGAGATTGTGTAACTCTGATTGACAGCTCAGACCTAGAATGAGATCTAGGTAGAGGTGTGCACTCGTATCACTGATCACGATATCTGCGGAACTACAATATAGTAGACCCCTACCCTTGGTGGATTCGTTTTCTCAAGAAGCTGAGAAAACGGACCCGATTGTGTTATCATGTCTGTGTCCTTAGGCAAGATTTTTTTTTACCCCAGTTGCTTTGTAATGTAATGGCCTCCCGTATGTTGCTGAGTGACGAAGTAATCAACAATACAATCAAATACAAAGAAACTCCGTATCTGTCTGTCTGTCTGTCTGTCTTTGTCTATCTACAACTGTTTCTTTATCTATTTGTCTACCTCTCTCTTTCTCTCTCCCTCTATTTCTCTCTGTCTGTCTGTCTGTTTGTCTGTCTGTCTCTCTTTCTCTATCTCTCTCCCTCTATTTCTCTCTCTCTCTCTCTCTCTCTCTCTCTCTCTCTGTCTGTCTTTCCCTGTATCTCTCCCTTTATTTCTCTATTTTTGTCTGTTTTTCTCTGTCTCTCTCCCTCTATCTCTATCTTTATGTCTGTCAGTCCTTTTGTCTTTCTGTCTCTCTCCATCTATTTCTCTCTGTCTGTCCGTCTATTTTTCTCTGTCTCTCTTCTTTTATTTCTCTCTGTCTGTCTGTCCGTCTGTCTTTCTCTGTCTCTCTTCCTCTATTTTTTGTCTGTCTGTCCGTCTATTTTTCTCCGTCTCTCTTCCTTTATTTCTCTCTATCTGTCCGTCCGTCCGTCTGTCTTTCTCTGTCTCTCTTCCTATACTTCTCTCTGTCTGTCTGTCCGTCTATTTTTCGCTGTCTCTTCCTCTATATATGTCTGTCTGTCTGTCCGTCTGTCTTTCTCTGTCTCTTTCCCTCTATTTCTCTCTATGTCTGTCCATGTGTCTTTCTCTGTCTCTTTCCCTCTATTTCTCTCTGTCTGTCTTTCTGTGTCTCTCTTCCTCTATTTTTTTGTCTGTCTGTCCGTCTATTTTTCTCCGTCTCTCTTCCTTTATTTCTCTCTGTCTGTCCGTCCATCTGTCTTTCTCTGTCTCTCTTCCTCTACTTCTTTCTGTCTGTCTGTCCGTCTATTTTTCTCTGTCTCTTCCTCTATATCTGTCTGTCTGTCTGCCCTTCTGTCTTTCTCTGTCTCTTTCCCTCTATTTTTCTCTATGTCTGTCCATTTGCCTTTCTCTGTCTCTTTCCCTCTTTTTCTCTCTGTCTGTCTTTCTCTGTCTCTCTCCCTCTATATCTGTCTGTCTGTACGTCTGTCTTTCTCTGTCTCTCTCCCTCTATATCTGTCTGTCTCACCGTCTGTCTTTCTTTGTCTCTTTCCCTCTATTTCTCTCTGTCTGTCTGTACGTCTGTCTTTCTCTGTCTCTCTTCCCTATTTCTCTCTGTCTGTCTGTACGTCTGTCTTTCTCTGTCTCTCTTCCCCTATTTCTCTCTGTCTGTCTGTCCGTCTGTCTTTCTCTGTCTCTCTTCCCCTATTTCTCTCTGTCTGCCTGTCCGTCTGTCTTCCTCTGTCTCTCTCCCTCTATTTCTGTCTGTCTGTCTGCCCGTCTGTCTTTCTCTATCTCTCTTCCTCTATTTCTCTCTGTCTGTCTGTCCGTCTGTCTTTCTCTGTATCTTTCCCTCTATTTCTCTCTGTCTGTCCGTCTTTCTTTCTCTCTCTCTCCCTCTATTTCTCTCTCTGTCTGTCCATCTGTTTTACTCTGTCCCTCTATTTCTTTCTGTCTCTGACTCGGTATAAGGTATTTATGTATTAAATAATTGCGTTTTCCTACATATTCATCGACTTTTATTTATTTATTTATTTCTGTAAAAACATGTTTACGGTTATTGTATAGGATATTACGCTTATATCAAGCGATGTCATCTGCATGACGTCTTAGTGCGATGATATAGTAATCGGGGAAAAAAAGGAAAAAAAAACCAAACGATGCATTTGATTTAATGGTTCCTATAATACTAGTAATCGTTGACATATCTGGCTTCCTACCTTGCTTTTCGAAAAAAAACCTGACAATCAGAAGACACTTGGGAGGTTTCGGTTTCTTTAATCGGTAAGCTCAGGTAACACAATTCAATACAATTGTCCTGTACGTGTCTGTCCTTAGTTCACAATCTGTTGTAACACAAACAACGACGTGCCAAATCCACGTGACAAGAAGATATTCAGCTTGATCAGATAAGTCTTTATGAAAAAAGCAAAGAAGAAAATATGAATCCTATTAAGCGACTAGTGGCCGAGAGGGCCTGCTTCGACAGATGCTCCAAAATCATGATTATAAGATCGATATATCGTCTGTACATATACAAGATTTCCATTACACTTTGACAAACGAGACATAAAAAACAAACAAATTCTACTGTGACAAATAACTCCTGTTCTTGTTAATTTCAGAATCAATTTGTCCAATTAGAGAACAGTATTTCATTTAGGTGAAAAATATCCATGGAACGTGTGAATAAAACTTGTTCTTCATTTAAGAGCATATCGAGTTTTTATGTATATTGTTCAGATTGTATACCTAAATACGCCTCTCATTTCTTTTTGTATCCCGGAATTACTGACAATAAAATACACTAACAAAGGCAATTGTGTGTAAGAAACATAGAAATTTGTATCGGGCAATATTCATGACATACTTACAGTGTCATTTATAAAGCAACGCATTATATGATACATCATAAGAAAATAATGCTGATTAAAAAAACTAAATTTAAAGGCAACATCTATTACGTTTGTTTTTTCCTAATTAAAAGTATTCGCAGACAAGCACCAAAAACTTACAAAAATGACACCAGGATGTAACTGTACAAGTTTTAGAACCCATTAACGTAGATAGATCAATGAATGATCGAAATAATCACGCGCCAAAATCATGCTACGGATAAACCGTGTGTAATATAAGATTTCAGACAGCCTAGTTATCAGGCTTCCTCAGCGACTTGGCCTGTCGTGTACCGAGTAACCTTTAATAAAATCGGCCACACGTTAAAATGGATGCTGTGGATGTAGTAGGGTGTGGAAAAGTACGAATCTCCCAGACTCCGGAAATAATTGTGCGGTTAGTGTTTATCATTTTACATGCATGCCCATGTAAATGATGTTCGTTTCCCGCTGGGTTATACGTCACGGGAATAAACCACGTAAACGGAATGCGCGCGCATCTTTATCGAAAATGTTTTGGAAACAGTTCTGATTAACGTCTACGAGAACAATATATTATACAGTCACGTGACACACGTTTTGACCGTTAGTTATGAAACGATCAAAAACGATTGGACATTTCAGCTGAGAATGCTGTACTTATATAAATGGATAAGATGTGAAGATTTGTCAAACGGAACGCAAGCACCGAACTATATACAGGCTAAACTTGAAAGACTTACCTGAAATCCACTGACGTACTACTGAAACACCTGTACAGGTAAGTTAATCTGTTCATACCCTCTCAAATATGGACTTTATGAAATCTTGATATCAGAGGAACAATTATCAGTTCTTGCTAATTTAATCTATGCTTTATTTATTTCAAATCCCTTAATATTCTGTTGACTTTTATCGACAAATTTGTCCTCTGCTTTAAGACGTTGTTGCTATAAAAGTAGAATTAGTACATTTCATTACCGACCGTATTTCCAATGATTTTCAGATCTTCAAGTATACATATTAAGTAAGTGTGTTGCTAATGTTAAGCAATGAAGTAATTTAGTCGTTGAATTTGCAATAAATTTGAACTTCTGCCTACCGACAAAACGAAAACAGGAATCTTTGGAAGCATTTTTTGCACAAATTTGGTTAATGTCTATTTTAAATAAGTAAGACTATTCCCTAACCTATCTCAGGCGGACATTTGATTTATAAACGTGGTTCCGAGACATAATGCCTCTGATTTGATCACATTTGATAATCAAACACGTCAGGACATACCCAGTGATGATAATTAGTGTAAATATGATTATCAGTTTATTATAACTAGTATCTGATCTTCAGAATAAAATTTCACAACAAAAAAATTACACATCGTCTACATACTGATTCAATAAACTTGGTCTGGGCTTGATTAAGATATCAGACAATGGAACATGATGTTTGTGCCGTGAGCTGTATGTGTAGTGCCCACTGAATTGCCATGCATGTGATGCCAATTGCACCGGTCTTTCACTGAAATACGTCCCAGCACATTTTATTCGCGATGCGGTGTTGAAATACAGTCATGTTTATTTATATGAAGCCTGCTATATAAGTCAATATTTGGTATTATCGCTTCGTTTTCTATAAACACTCTCTAAACTTTATTCATTCTGTCGATCTTTCAAAGATATAGATGCAATCCTGTTAAGATCAACTTATATTTACATATAACAGACCCGATGCACTTAGCTTTGAGACAAATGATGAACAGTTCGTTTATATGAAAGACGTGTTTTGAATGTATGAGATTTCATTGATAATTTGTCATTTCTAATTTTTAAGAGTTGATCATCATTCAATTCCTTTTATCAAAAGTTTGAAGGTTTCAGGGTTTTGCCGTCGAATATTTTACTATTATACATTAAAGATTTTCCGTTGAGTGGGTTTTGGGGTGTTAGGTGTTTACTAGTAACAGTAGGGTTTAACTTCACTCTCCGATAGCAGAACAACTATGATATTTCATCAACAATTTAACTGTCGTACTTAGCATATGTATTGACTAAATGTCTTGTTTTCATCAAAAAATTATACATCAAGGTGAAGGTCGCCCTAATTTACTCTTGGTTTCCCCGCGTCAGACGTCTGGGTGAACGGAAAATATGGTTAACCTAATCCTTATCAATATTGAAATATGTGTGGATTCTCTGTTTGTCAACTTAAGTCAACACAATTGACAATTTGTTACAGGTAGTTATCGTCAATGTTTTTATCGTAACATCACTTGTCGAAAATCCTTTTTTGAAACTGTTGAGATTTGTAAAATTCTACATTACATGAAAGATGTTGGTCTATATAATAGACTATGACGTACCATTTTAATCTTTTGCGTTAACATACCCATTTAAGATTTTTAGCATTTGTCTTTTACGTTTTGGTTTGTTTAATGTTATTTCCTTTTGGATCGCTGTGTGTTTTACCGATGGATGGTCCTAATAACCTTTTATGTGTTGACGGGCCGTTAAAAATGCAATAATAATAATAATAATGATAAAGTTATCGTAAAATTCCACCAGTAAATCATGTGAAGACATTACATCCTCCCCTTTCTTTACTTCCTAACCCCTAGTAATGCTAACCTGATCTTTGTCTCTTGGTTCCTCAGTGAGAGGCGACTAGACTTGGGATCTGATCTTTTTTCTCTTTTCTCTAAAAAAACATTTTCTTTCTAGAGATTTCTTTGACGCTGCCTCAGCCCATAACTTGAGTTGTCCCTTTCGTGAGAAAAGCTATTGGTTCTGTCTCCTAGTTACTGAAGCATACCAGAGTTTTCAAAACTGGTAAATACTGCTTGCTGTTTAATACATATGGTAGTGGTAACGACTGGTTACCCATGTCAGTACATATGTGTGAATAGACTGAGTGCCCTGCTGCAAACCTTCAGCAGTATACTTCAGTGTGGTAACACTATAATGTCAGCTTAAGTCCCGCATTATCACTAAGAAGCTTGAAAGAACACATTGTAGCTTCCCACAGATACAAGCATTCATGCATAACAATATCAATGACCACAGCTGTTGATTGGACCTTAAGCTATGCAAGGCCAGACCGTGAACTGTTTTTTTTTTAATTTTTTTTTTACTTTTTTTTTTTAATTGAGTCCATGAGAATAATGTTTATTACAGTGCTAGTGCTGTTTGTACACCACACATGTTAAATTTATCACTTTTTCAATCACCCGAATCTCTATGTCGAAATACCGTTGCCATTTACTAGACATAATTCCGGTATATTTCAAAAAAAAAAAAAAAAAAAAAACGCGAATCGACATTATGCGTTACATATAATTTACATACCATACTTTCCTGTACAGGATCCAAACCTACATTCATAAAAACCTTTGAGCATTTTGCAATTATTGAGTGACAATTTCTTTAAGCTCTGGACGTACTACGTTGTTCTTCACCGTGATCGTAGTTTGACATATTATTGAAAAGACATACATTACATCTCGCTGATATTTGTAAGATATGGTCAGATATCACAATTTCGAAATATAATGTTGATATCCATTAACACGATTGTGTAGGCGAAATGGCTTTTATGCCTACATCTTCCGGCTTAGACACACTATATGTATATGGTATGATAAATTGTCGATATAGATTAATGAATTTGATTAATCATTTTCGGACATAAAAGATATGTCGGTTTCATTTTTATTCTATATATAACTATTAACATCAACAGTGTCACGCACTTCCATTTCCCCACCCCCACACTACAGAAAAAAACAAGCCTTAAACGTCCACGCCCTCTCACCGACTACGTCAACGTTGCCTCACCCAAAGTCCTTATCGCACTATACACTGTGTCCTGTCAGAGCCTATTATCATACAATCAGCAATATATTCCAATCCCATTACCATCACATCCCTACCCCAACACAATCGCCCACCCCCGTGATACTACCTTCCCAGAAGCGACCACACCGTCCCATCCCCAATTTATTTCATTCACGATGTTTAAATCATGTTAAGTATCTGATCGCTTTGTTCTGACCTCCCATCCTCTAATAACTCCCTCTTCGTTATCAATACACCCCACCCACTCACCAATTATGTAGCTATCATCGTTGCTGAAATATAATTAGATTTTCAAGAGAAGAAGACTTAATAATTAACAACGAAAGCGAGGTTATGGACGTATTTCACAAATCTATTGGTGAATCGTTTCCATTAATTTCTGACAGATTTACGTAGCGATATACTTGTTATATAATTTTTACAAAAAATAGTATTGAACAAGTGTCTTTTTTAAAAACATGCTTAATGTTTTAACATTTCAATGAGGTGTTGCTGTCTAGAGGAAGTGTAGCATCAACCTCGCTTTGAAAATCCGACATCAATGCATTACGATATTCTTCGAAGATTAAACATCCTGAAGAGCCATTGGAATACGGACACAAAGTAATAGATTTATACATAAAGAAAAATGTTCTTCGTGATGTTCATCTTTGTTCCCAGAATATTGATTCTTAATGGTGTAATGAAGCTTCAAAATGTCAAACCTGACACTGACGATATCTGTGGTCAGGAAGTTTTGGAATGGAGTTGACACAATTGTTACTGTCGAAACACTTAACAAAACAGATACAAACGACTGTGTGGAAATTTTGAATAAAGTGAAAAGTTCGAAACTGTGACTACTTATAATTTTGATTGTCCAAAAAATCGACACAATGCCTACTTAGCTCCGAATATCTGAGAATTCTACAATTTTGTCTATCACTAGATATGTGTTTGAAAAGTACGAAACAGTGGCTCCTTTTTTCGGTTTGACAGCTCTGAAAATGATTTCAGTCTGATTGACTTTGCATAATTGTTAAGTCTCCGATATCCAAAAAAAGCTACAAGAATGGTGAATATTGGCTGCGTTTTAAAAATTAATTCTTTTATAACATTTTGTTCATAACCGTTGTGTGTGTTTTTTGTGATGATTCAACTACGCTTTCATGTACTATTAGGACTTGAGCAATTCCAGAAATAAGATATGGCATCACCATTTCAGTTTCTAAACAAATAAATCTGAATCGATTTTTTAAGTGCTTTCAAGAGTGATCTTACCTGGTAGATTGCTATTAAAAAAAATACATTTTGAAATATTTGAAAATACATGTATGAGTATATACAAGAAACTCGTTATAACATAGTGATTCTGATTAATATGATGTAAGTAGAATGTCAATCGTTTGGTAATTCATTTGAGTGTTTTTCATATAAAATACATATCTGTGTTCCTGATCTGCCGCTACAAGGCTACGCAGCATGATATTACGCCAGGAAACGAGATAAATGGTAGCTTAAACAGACACGCGAGTTTCCGGGAGTAAAGATATCGGTTGTCGATTATTATCACAATGAAATATTAAACCTAAGTTGGTGCGGAAAAATCCCGTGTACTTTTATATTCTGGTGCGCAATTCAATGTTTGTAAACAAATGAAAGCATGACCTTGACGTTTTGACCTCGAGGTCACTCACTCTGAGGCCTGCCGCACAAACAGGAACTATTGAATGCGGCTGTTAATGAAAACCAGATTGTCCTGCTGTGCTTCCAGATATCGTGTGTCGGCCTTCTTAGTTTTCATTATATATTTGTATATGTTAGCTTAGCAAATATACCTAAAGATTCCCATATAAGTTTATACAAAAATAATCAGGTTTTTATATTGACTTAATATATCAAATATAATTTAAATGTATTATGGATTGATAGTTATGCCTTTAACTAAAACAAAATTATTAAAACACATATTCTATTTAAGTTAACAATGCAAAAACAGCGTTTTAAGCCCATGTTTTGTTGTTGTCATTTGAAAATATTATTCATCATTTTCAAATTAAGATATCCTCTCCAATTTAAATGTCCTAATTTTTTATCAGAAAAAATATGAAGATACTGGAAAATGATTTTTTCAAAAAAATGGATTTAAAAGAAAATTCTTCCAATGGCGCCGTTGTGGGGGTGCTTCAAAGAGGTGATGACGTCACATAATTTGTAGAAGAGTTGAATCATCTTGTTTCAACACTTTTAGATCTACTTTGAAAGCAGACTGTTTCATCTCTTACGGGGAAAATATTAAAATAAGAAAACATTGATATTGTGTGAAAAGTAGTACTTGTCTTTTTCTGACGCCGATCAGAATATACGACATAGTTTTAATCAGCTCTCGCCGGCTATTCGACAGTTTGGAAACTGAAATATATCTCAAAGTGTGTCACTTCCAAGTGTAAAATAGTAGGAGCATAACGCATTTATTTTATTTTTACTGGAGAGGGTATGGTGGCTGGTGAGAACATATGATCTCAGTTGTTTTTCACTGGAAGGTTGAAGAACGAAATCATGTAAAACGAGAGGTATATTAATGAGGTAATAGGCCAGACGTACGGTATAGACTGAGTTTATCAGTTGATTGAGAATTTTTGTCATTTTAATATGCCTTTAAATATGGCGAAACTAAATAACTGTTCTTGTTATTGATTGCACTCTAAATTTCAATCATTTTCAAGTCTATTTATAGGATATGAAATGTATGTTTCTGTCTAATATAATTCAAGTCGCGTGCGAGGCATATTCTACATACTTGTGTAGGGATTCACTTGTTTAATGACAGTGGAAACAGCTACCGCATTCCTACTTGACACCTTCTGTGCTGTTGCCAAACACTAACATACATCACCTTAATATATGAGGATAAGTGTTCGCTGACTCACGTATACAGATGTCCTGCAGATAAGTAGTTGTACTAATTGTGACAGGTAAATTAATTTTAGCATGTTACATGAATGTGTCTTCGCCTATAGAATTTAATTGTCAATCCTATAAACAAATGGTATTTTTCATACATTATTGTTTTAAGAATTTCATGTTTAAATTGCAAAACGAGACAATGATCAGAAATTAAGAAATATATATGTATCACATATTCATGGTCTAATATCGGCATTCTGAACTAGGCCGATATCTTACAAGTCGACCGCGTGTCTCTTTAAAGGATTAACTAATGGTTAACAGAAAATCAACATATTTGAATATCTACCTTCGAGTTCCTGGACTCACCGCCATTGATCAAACTGTCCTTATAGTTTCCGTACAGGTGGTGACGGTTGGTGCCACATCAATATGACGTAACAATGTCCGAAACGTAGACAGAATATATGAACAAATATATAAAGTCATATCTATGGTCTTCTTTAACGCCTGAAGTAGCATAGTGCATATTTCACTATTTCAGTCGTCTCACCGTCTCTATCACTAGCCTTCTATCTTAGAGTTGCGGGTTCGAGACCTACAAGGGACAGTCGCCAGACTTTTTTTTCTCTCTGTTAACTCCAGCTTTCCTCCACACTCCAAACCTGGAACGTCCTTAGATGACCCTGAATATTTATTGGACGCAAAACAACAATAAACTAAACAACATTTAAACATATTGACAGATAGATTGAGTGGTAATATGATATGTCAAATCTTTTTGGTTGCCGCAAAACATAACGACCGAACGACTAAGCGACAGTTATGTGACCGACGAAAACCTCCTGTAAGACAATTAGGGTCATTTTTACTTAAGCTACCAACGGCGACTTCTCTTTCTGTATGTATATTTAAGTACAATTTTTTATTGTAGATATTACAACGAATTACGTCATGATGCTCCGCCTTATCTTAGTAACCTGTATGACGTCATCAGTTCTCTCACACCCTCTCCACCAGCTATTCAGGAGAAGTCTCGTGAAGGTGAGTAAAACATCAAGTCAATAAAGTTAAAAAGATTTTTAGCATACTTCTTACTGAAACATCCAAAATAACCGAGTACTGTACACTCAAACTTTTATAGGATTTTTTTTAAAATTGAATGATCAGTGTGCAAAACTGATTCTCTTTCATACCAGCATTAAAGTTTATATTTAGTATCTAGTTACGTTTCAAAAACAAAGGTAACACATAAATGAAGTTATTTGGTAATTTAATTTAATTCGATAAGGGGGGGTTGGGGGTGTGGGTGGGGGTTGGGTTGGGGATGGGGGTTGGGGTTGGGGGTGTGGGTGGGGGTTGGGGATGGTGGTTGGGATGGGGGGATGGGGGGTCTCCGATAACATATGCATGAACGGTCGTTTGTTTACATAGTATCTGTATGGGTAATTTTGTACTTAGTAGGAGAGAGTTGTTGTGTTATAAGAGTAACGATTTGTAGCAATGGTGAGAGGGAGAATAGAAACATGTTAACAACGTGCAGCTGATGTTCGCTAGAATCTAAATCGCCATTAAGACAATGATTTTCGGCATCAAAGCCAAAAACAGACACCACAAACATTGAAATCCATCAAATCAGCGGACGGCGTTTTGATCTGGTATTGAAATCCTTTGTTCAGACCGAAGTTACCAAAGTGTGAGACAGTTTCCATCTGATAAATCAGTCTTCAGGCTGTCGTCCATTTCACAAGGATAAAGACAAGTGATGACTTTATCACCGTCCATAACTGAGCAATTTTTTCAGCATTATATTTGGTTCATATTTGACCGGCTAAAGTTACCTGCCCTTGTATTTCCTTTCTACTGCTCAGAGATGAAAAATTTCCGCCGATCGGCGGATTTCCGCCTTTTTCATGACAAATTTGGTCATTTTTGAGATCGATGCAAATCCGGTGAGAAAATTTCAGGGATGGGAGGGGGTTAGGTATGTCTTGATGATGCATTTTATTTTTAAGCAATCTTCATCAACTCCGTTCTTAAATCCTTCGATATATATGCCCTTATAAACTGTAAAATTAAACATCGATCAGTTATGAGCACCGTGTTTCCGGTATTGTCAAATCGATAATACGAAGGAAGATAACTCTTACATCAGTCGAACGTTTGAAAGCTATAGTTGAATTACAACAGAGATGAACAATTTCCGGCGATCGGCGGATTTCCGCCTTTTCCAATGCCAGCCACTTTCATCTCTGACTGATGAGAAACTGTCTGTTTGAAGGGAGGTAACTCCAACGCGTTCGAGAGCCGGTAGTAAAGAGAATGGGGGAAAACACCGACTCCTATGAAAACTTAATTTTTTCCTGATTCCTAATAACCAGGACAAGTTTGAATAATATTTATATCTAAATAAGATAAAATTATTTTTGTTATTTCCCTAGCGATATGGAAATGAGGACTACGAATATTTGGTGAACTTGTTAGCAAACCGAATGGTGAACAATTATGGGGGCGATCCATTAACGGAACAGGAAATAGAGACCCAACTATTAGCACACGGCCTGAACGAAGATACCGCCAAACATCTCTCTGAAAGCTTCGTTTGGTGTTGTGACGACGACTCGGACAATCTGCTGAATCGTCAAGGTAAGTTCGTCTTTGAATCAACAAGGTCCGTAGGTGAAGGGAGTATTTGATGTAAGTCAGAAGGTCAAGGTCGTCTTTGAATCAAAAATGTCCGTAGGTCAAGGCAGTATTTAATGTAAGTCAGAGAGTCAAGGTCGTCTTAGAATCAACAAGATCCGTAAGTCAGGGCAGTATTTGATCTAAGTGGAAAGGTCAAGGTCATCTTTGAATCAACCAGATCCGTAGGTCAAGGCAGTATTTAATCTAAGTCAGAGGGTCAAGGTCGTCTTTGAACTAATAAAGGAGGTTGGTCAATCTATCAATCTAATGTAATAAACACAAAAATAACGATATAGTTCGTTTAATTTGAGATTAATGACGAATATCGGGGGGAAAAGAATTATAATTAACAACAGACTGCAAAAATATATCAGGGTAAGCAGAGTGTTAATTCTTTATTTATCATTATATTTCATTTTTTTTCTATTTTCCGTCGAGGATTTACGTGGGCCTTGAAGTTAGCATGTAAGAATAGATATCATGACGCTTGTGAACACCCTTCCATTTCGTTGATCAGAAATATGCTGAACTTTGCAAATACGGGCATAGGCTAAATCGCAGTTAACAAATATTTTTTTCTTAATCTAAATGAGCACTATCATATGGATAGATAAGACAACATTTTGAATACAGAAATGGTATATTATAAGACTCTTTCATATATCGGTGTGTAGGAAGGGGATACACGAGGGGTAAACATGACGTAAAACCCGAGGCTTTACCACATTTTGTGACCTCGAGGGTGAAATATCTCATCCTTCATCCAATTATGTAAGAGTATTTTTCTCTCCTTTCCTATTTTGAAATACTTGGAGAATTAGCTTCATACTTCGACAATGTACTACGAAGGACGCCACGTTACACAAAAAATCATAGTATTTTGCAATTAATTGATCAGTTTACATAGAAAATGAATTCTCTGTATTCAATTTGGCAGACAGAGTTTGCACTAAAACCAATGTATAAACAGTAACAGCAAACAACCTTTTGTACTCAAATGTGTATGCATTATATCAGGCGATGACGTAAATTGGGAGGGGGCACATTTCTACGAGCGTACGTGCGGGTACGTGCGCGTGCCTGTATTGCATGGGTGAATATAATACAAAAAACCTACAAACCAGGGTGTATTGCCCAGAGACAAATTAGTATGACAGAGGTAGAAATGAGAGAAAAAAGTCTTATATTCGGTTTGATGGTTATACTGATACATCATGAAAACAATCTCTCTCTATCCCTGAAATAGATAGATACATTATCAATACATCTTTTCCTTTTTTTCAGAACTTCGTCGAGCCATGCACGAATTCAGCCCCTTTATCTATCCTTGATGTAGCTGGAGAGAGTTTTCCCGGAATTTCTCAACATTCCATTCGACAATGCCTTTGTCCTGCGCATGGGCACACACAAAGCTTGGAGCACATGTCCATATTTTGTTCCCGTTGTACTTCATGTCGCCATGCACATAAGAATGCAGCTTTCGTCAACGGACTCATTGTTTCTGGGCATTGTTTTTCCGTCCAAATGATCTTCACTAGTGGGGATCACGTGATCACGGAGAATAGCATGTCTTGCTCATTAGATAAAATGTGACATTGTGACGTTTGCATAACTTGCTTAGCTGTCTGTTTTGACAAACCCCGAGGATTGATATATCCTTAGAACTGTCGGAATATGTGGTGATTGTCCGATTTTATAACACGGGTGCTAGCCTCACTTTAATAATTAATATCGCTAATACTTTCCCGCCAATTTCCGTCGTATTCCAGAAAAGAATCTAATGATTACCTTTTCTAAAGTGAGTACTGCTGTTGCAAGATAATAAATTGTAACAGAAGGAGAAATTAAGTGCATATATCACAAAAAAGATCCTACCCTTTGTCGATAATTGGTTCCTACAATACGGGTTATTTAAATTTGTTTGCTTAATTTATTCTTTTTATATTGCAAAGGTAAGTTCATTGATTTGGTGTTTGTTTCTATTGAGTTGTAAAATTAACGACCGAATCTGATTGATTCCCGAACAGCTTTTGTAGCAGACTCTCTGTTTGATTAGCCAAAGACGCGTATGTTCGTGTCAATTTAAAATTTTAACATCATCGCTGAAATTCATATCGTTATGAATGACATGAGATCTATGTAAGACCGAACATTAAAAATACATATAGCATAATAATGTAGTTTCATTTCATCTGATCAAATCCATATTTCAATAACATTACATCTTATTTTAATTTAATGTTTTTTAACGGTAGAAGTCGTTACGTGTATCAAATGAAAGGTCATCCTCCAGAGTCAACCATTATGATCTTGTCATATCACTTTGATATATATTGTCTATTCAATTTAAAATAGTTATGTACTTTTATCTTGCCTAACCGTAAATTTGAAACTGAGAGTATTAAATACTTGTTTTCCGCAATATTTAAACATATTACTGATTCATATTGTATAGAACTGCCATACACGAACGTGAGGGAATTAGAGAAACCATTTGAAAATACTGATAAATAGACCCAAACTAATGGCCACAGTCAACCTGACTTCACTTTTGGTTCATAACCAAACAGCGGTTGGTGTTGGGCACATTTTTTTTTGCATTTTTCTGAGTACGAAACTGAGAATCAGTGAATTCAAAATGTCGTGTTAGATAGAGGGAATAATGTTGTTAATCTTTTGTTTATAACTATTTGTATCTAATCTGTGGGTATGGTTATACCACTTTGATGTGTACATCGCTAAAATAAAATAATACTTGTTTATTAAATACTTCATTGTTCGACATTGCCACGTGACATTTTGTTCATATGTATTGTTTGTTTGTTTTTTTTCGTTGAAATTGCATTGTTTTCCTTCTAATGTAAATATGTTGGTGTTTGACAAATTCGATGTATATAAAACGAATTATTTTGAAAATATCTATATGTTGTTATCTTTAAATAGTGTTTGATAAGGTCCTACCTGTGGTTTATGTGTCCTTGCCTTGTATCGTTATTGTCCCAATTACTCTGATAGGCATGCGCCGTACCTCTCGCATGTTATTCAGTGAAGTGAAACCACTACAAAGAATGCTCGCCTCAAGATGATCCTGGCTGTAAAAGGGACAATAACCATGGCAACATCCTTGACCTTCACTTTTTACTCTGTCATTTACATTACAAAAATGACTTTTTGACCTTTCAATACCAACCGAAAATGACGACTGAAATATTTCAATGGTTTATATTTAAGTATCATTCGATTAGGCAAATTCAATTAATTTAAAACAGAACCATCAAAAAGCGATTCTTTTCCGGAAATTGACGTGAATAATAAGTGGATGAAATGCACGTGTAGTCTGTGACGGGTCCAAGTCCCAAGGGTTAGTCTAATGTGGTCGCTAAGAGTTATCTACCTTCATACTGCTTTTCTTCGTTCCGATGCGCTCGTTTGAAATTAGAAAAAAATATACGATAAGCAATCTCTTCTTTATCTATGTAGTCTAGACCCTGATATTTTTATATCACGAATACTTAAATTTATATATGTAATCCAAAAGGGATGTTTTATACATTTCTGGACCGGGTTTTACTTAAGGTCGTAAGGTCACATATATAGAAGAAGGTCTAGAATGTGTTGATTTATGAAAAGTTGTAATTTTACACGGAAAAAAAGATGACGCCCCGTTGCGGCTTTAAGTTCTTTATGACTCGCGTTCTGTTTCATCAAATGCCCACTTATGATAAATCACCACCACACCCAGGTCACAATTGCAGTTAATTGTTAACTGAAATGGTTAACTATCGAACTACTTTCAGTTACCAAATGGTTGTCTAGATATGGTAACACTATAAAATTGAAATACAAATTCACAACAAAATAGTAAAAAAATAATGATAGACAAAATATATAGCAGCATAATCTATTTTATACGATACTATTAACTCTTCATACTGTCTTTTTACCTTCGAGCATTACAATAGTACTTCCTTTCAGATTCATTTCCGCCTTGTCTCATGGGAAGGTTTCGAAACACACACATTTACAGAGCGCCTGGGTTAAGAGTTGTATGCGTTTATATCTTTTACAGGTTTCTTTCATTTCCTCGATGTTTAAGGTCTGAATTAGTGGTCATGTATTTATGAATGCTAACTGATAGGTGTAAGTTGTCATAATGGACGTTATTTCTATTCTGTCTGTAAACTGTCCTGGAACAATATTTAAAAGAAAGGACGTTTACTCCTACTTGAAAGGTTAAAAGTTCTGTATGAAGTGTTTGCTAGTGTTAGTGTTTTCAGGGAAGAAAATCACACTTATATCTGAAGCCAGTAGGGTTTCAATCGATTTTTTCAGATCTTTCAGGAATGTTTCTGGCTCTAGACATCGAAATAGATGTCAGTATTAATTTGATAACATTGAAGTTCCAAACACTGATCACAAAGTTTTTTTTTATGTTATCCGATCCAGTTGATGACTAATGAATGATAAACATATTATCTGTGGAGACTTCAGCTTATCCAGAATTAGATTATGATAAAATATTATAGAAATGTAAATTATCGTTAAGCCAGAGAAAAAAAGTTTTAGAAATTAAGGAAAATGATTGATTAGTAGATATATATATATATATGTATGAAGCTTCATCCTAGTGGTAGAAGATATACATGGAAGTAGAAAAGTCAATTAAGACTAGATTTGTTGTTTTTTGCCAATTTCAGATAACTTATTATTTCGTGTAAAGAATACTTATATCGAGCCGGGATAGAGCTAAGATAGAAGTTAAAACTTAATGATTCTAGACGGAGAATGGGACTTAAGAAATAGGCCCGATCTCTATTATATGAAGAAGACTATCTTCAGTTGGTACAAAGCACACTTTTGAAACAAAAATGCAGCATCTACTTCCGGTATACAATTGTCAGACTTTCACTAGTGTTCCAGATACTGAAATAGAGTTTGTCATAGATGATCAACTTTTTTGGAAGCTTTGTTAATGGAATTCAGCAGTAGAACTATATCTTACTAATCATACAGAGAGAAACAAACGAAATGAATTTGAAAATAACATTAGGAAAGCTGTACAACATACATAAGAGAAGAAGGGAGACAAAATAACGACTAAAAAGGAAATAGAAAAATGAGATGTGATAATTTTAAGAGTAGTATTGTAAGGGCAAGATGGCAGGAGGAAAGGGAAAAGCAAACAAGACAAATTTAACTGAGGAAAAATAAATCATACGTCTAGAATTATACGATAATTATAGATAGCAAATAAGGGAACGTTGACACAGCAAAAAGGCATACTTGAAGAAGTTTGATCATTTTATTAAAAAACTGTATGGTGACAATTGCTACATAGAAGGTTCTCCTGGAAGACATATAATGTTCCAAAACTGGATAACAATATAGCTAGAGGTATTATTTTTGAAAGCTTGGTGAGGTTCTATGAAAGTTGAGGGTAACAAACATGAAAAAAAATTATCTGGAAAACTCCTATATGGTTTAATAGGGATTTGCTGATGGAAGGAAAAAATAGATTCTTCAAGACATGGTGTGGTTGGGGATTATTAAAATGACTGACTTGTTTAAAGATTTTTCAACGGTCATAACATTTAGTAATTCATAAAAAAAAGAAAAAGGACAAAAGATTAATACAATTTCATGGTAAAAAACATCTACCAACACAACAGATAGGAAAAGATGAGAAATATAAAAAATCAAATGATATAGATATAAATGATATAGGGAGGTATATACTAAATGTTTCAGTGATAATTATGAGTGTCTGTTTCACGACAGTTCAAAAGCCATCCCGGTATAATATTTACATATAAAAACGATTCATTAGGAAATGAATGGTCAATCAAATATTCATTTATCTTACTGGATTTACATTCCACGTTTGTGGCCTTTCGGTCTTTCAGCGGACGAGAGAAGACAGTAAAATGAGTAGAGAGGGAAAGGTAGAAAGTAATGAACAAGATATAACATATAATATAATTGATATAAACGTGGCCACGTGACCGCGCCTCGATCTAGGGGAGGACAGAATGTGAGGCGAATTGGTGTGCAATAGTACAAAGGCGAAAATATCCAGGCAGAGTAGTCTGATTGCTAAGTATATATTCTGAAATTTGTCCAGTGCTGGATGTTGTTAGGGCTTTATTCACTCCTCAGACTAGACGTAATCGTAGCCACCGACACAGGCTTTATGGTAAATCAAGCGGATATACTGTCACGTTTGAACATCTAATGAATACGTTACAGGAACCACTTGCTGTCCACTATGTCAGAAAATGAGCGAAACGAGATCATGCTTAGTTGTATTCACTTTGGGAGTGGCTTAAGTCCATTCGGTCCATCATTCGTAAAATAATTTGCAGCTTGATATAAAAAATGATAAAAAAACACAAGTCAGCTTTCCTCAGTCTTGATGTTACACATACACTTCTAGATTTACAAGACAGGTATGTAATTGTGCCTGCAGATAAGGCGTCCAATAACTTGGTCCTTGTCTGCAAACATTATTACATTCCAGTATACAGACAAGATTAGGGCTTGCTTGATAACGAAGGAAACCCCACCAATACATTATGCAATCTTTCAAAAGACGAAATATTAACTAATCATGCTTCGGTATTACAATCATTCATATTGCCTATCAATAATAAGGATACGGACATCCCCCGTTCATACTGGATCCCTAAACTTCTCAAGAATCCATATAAACAACGTATTATAGCTGGCTCGTCTAACTGTTCAACTAAGCCTTTGTCGAAATTACAAACCATCCTTCGAAGTACTATCAAATCTGAGTTACAGTCTTATTGTGATACTGTTTACTCAAGAAGTTTGAAGAAATCCAAAAAACGTTTGACCAATCTTCAACACCCTCTTCTAAAAAAACATTTCTGCTTTACAAATATTTCATTTTTCCACCTTGTACACCACCATACCCCATTCTAAACTGAAGGAACGTCTTCGTTCTCTTGCTATGAGAGCTTTCCTCTCCAAGAAAGGTGAACGGCGTGATACATATATGGTTGTAAACTATACTGAGACGTATTTCGTAAAATTTACGTCCAAGTATACGGAAGACGAAATCATAAAAAAAGGATTGAGTTTTTGGTTGACAATATCTTCGTCGAGTATAATGGTTAGATTTTCCAACAGGCTATTGGCATACCTATGGGACCCAACTGCGCCTCCCTGTTGGCTTACTCGTTTTTGCTTTCATACGATGCTGAATCTATTGAAAAGCTTATCAAACCAGGCCAAAAAGACCTTGCAAAGTTGCAAAGTCGTTTAATCTTACATTCAGATATATTGATGACAACTTGTCTTTAAATAAAAAGAAATTTATTGACTACATCCTTCGTGTATATCAACT